GAAACTCTTTAACTTTATTTCTTTTTTTCTCTTTTTTCCCCAGCGAAAACTGTCAAATTTGACCTGAATTAGCAAATAGTTTTGGCAAAAATACTATTCACCAATTTTTTTTCGCTCAGTGTATGTTAAATTAATTGTCACATTAAGCACTGGAAACAAGAAATCACAACTGAGAAAAATTTCCTTACTGGAAAAAACAAAACAAAAAAATCCCCAAAACAATGATGGTATCCTATAGATAGAATCCTACACCTTGCATCTTTATCATGTTATCAGATCACAGTGTTTGGGGCATCTGAGAATACTGTTGTATTTTTATAAAGGTTTTATTTTAAAGCTTGGAAAAAGTGCTAGATTGACAGTCATGGAGATTGAGGGTACATCTACACGGAAAAGAAAAACCCACGGCTGTCCCATACCAGCAAAATCAGTCTCCCAGGGCTTGGGCTTTGGGACTGTTTCATTGCTGTTTAGACCTCTGGGCTTGGGCTGGAGTCCGAGCTCTGTGACTCTCCCGCTCCGCAGGTCCTAGAGCCCAGGCTCCAGCCCGAGACCAGAAGTCTACACGGCAATGAAACAGCCCTGCAGCTTGACCCATCAGCTGGCATGGATTAGCCGTTGTTTTTTTTTTTTTTCCTGCTGTGTAGACACACCCTGAAGGGCCTGATTCTCCATTATATTAAGATCCCTTTACAACTCTCTGGAAGTATAACGGGGTATTAGAGTGTGCCAGAGTGGTGTAATAGGGGCCTCACTGTATCAGGGTGTAGTATCTTTATTTTTTCACTGAAGGGATATGGTATACACCAACAGAGGCTTCCACATTACCTCCTGTTCTGGAGGAACCACCATTAGTGAGTGAGAGGGTAAGTAGATTTCCATCCCTATTCAGTCTATGCTAACTGCCAACAAAGACAACATCATTGCTGTGGTGGTTGAATTTTTGTTATACACCTCTACCCCGATATAATGCTGTCTTCAGGAGCCAAAAAATCTTACCGTGTTATAGGTGAAACCGCGTTATATCGAACTTGCTTTGATCCGCCGGAGCGTGTAGCCCCCGCCCTCCCCCCCTTCCCTCCGGAGTGCTGCTTTACCGCATTATATCCGAATTCATTTTATATCGGGTCACGTTATATCAGGGTAGAGATCTATATAGAAACTTGACCATATGCAGCAGGACTGAGACCATCTGATACATTGAGTGATAATTTTGGCTAGAGGTAGGCCAGCTCGAGGAGTCGTGGGGGAAGACTCTGGAAGTGGCTACTAGTCCACAGCTCCTCTTCCTAGTCTCCTACAATGCAGACAGTGTGTTAAAGCAACAGTTTTGTCCTTTGTTTATGTGTCTGAGGTTGCTGAGCAATTGGGAGCTTTAAACACCAGAAAAAAAAAAGTTGTTCGAATAATGGAGCTTCCATTGTTGCTGTAAAAAAAATATTCAGTATAAAATGGACAATAAAGTTACTAGAATCAACTGACCACTGCCTTAAAGTACTTGCTTTGAAATTACTCTACCTGCTACTAAAGATATTTTTGAATTGCCAAAACCTTCTTTGTCTTGTCTTGAGGAACAGCAGTGGACATCCTGTGCTTTTGGTGAAATGCTGAGAGAAGCTCCAGTTTAGCATCTCAGATTAAGAACAGTCTGTTTGGCAGAGGTGAAAGTAAGTCAGTACGCCCCGCTACGGCATACTGGCAAGAGCCGGTGCACTGTACCAGGGTGGTCTGGCTTCTCCAGGTGGCAGTTTAAAGGGCCTGGGTCTCCCAGCAGCGGCTGGAGCCCCAGGCCCTTTAAATTGCTGCCAGAGCCCTGCTGTCGGAGCTCTGGAGTAGCGGCGGGGCTCCGGGGGTTATTTGAAGGGCCGGGGCTCACACTGCCTCAACTTCCCTAGGCCCTTTACATAGCCGCCGGAGCCCTGCCGCCTCTACCCCAGGTCTCTGGGGGCTATTTAAAGGCCCGGGGCAGTAGAATCAGGCAAGTCCTGGGCCCTTTAAATAGCTCCCGGAGCCCTGCTGCCAGAGCCCTGGAGTAGCAGCAGCAGCCAGGGGCTCTGGCAGCGGTTTAAAGGGCCCGGGGCGGTAGCGGCGGCCGAGCCCTGGGATTTTTAAACTGCTGCTGCAGCCCCCGGCTGCCGCTGCTACCCCAGCAGGGGAGGGGAAGGGCACTTACCGGTATAGGGCGGGCCGAGGCTGGCTTTGACCACCCCCCCCCCCGGCCAATCCTCACCCCTTCCGCTCAAGGCCCCACCCCTTCCGGGGGCCAAAGCCGGCCCCAACCCAGCCCCGTACCAGTAAGACCCTATTTCTACTTTCACCCCTGCTGTTTGGTGTCCTCTGGCTGACGTCTTTGAGTCTATCCAGAGTGGTCTACATTTCATACCATGCTAGACTTTGGGTGATAGTGATTCAGTATTCACCGAGTGTTCAATCTAAAATCCATTAAAGTTATAGAGGAAATCCCATAAGTTTTAATGAAAATTGTCTCTGATTCATAACAGGGAACGAGAAAGTGGACTTTACAGAGAGAATAATGTTCCTTGGTAGTTATTGCATATGAAAGATTCTGGCATTATCTTCCTGTTTTCAAGTGTCCTTGCCCCTCCACCACGCCCACTCCAAGAAAGAATTTGGAAAATAATCTGATTACAAAAGGGTTAAAGAGATGATTTGTGTCCTTAACAGTTTTTAGTATGGCATTCCAATGTTATATTTCATTAAAGTCTCATCCTTTTAGACCCCATATTGAAAACCACTGTTCTATGGTAATGACAACCTTTTGTGGACCCCTTAGACATAGTCTGTAGAACCCCAGGGTTCTGTTGACTGCAGGTTGAGAACCACTGAGATAGGGCATAGTATGGCCCAGACACTCCATACTCCAGAGGAGTTGTTGCTTTGCAAGGGGAGAGAGTGGTGAGAAGCTGATGGCCAGCACTGGGAGGGAGGGGCGAGGGGGAGAGCACAGGCTACACAATTAATATTTGTAGTAGCTGTCACTTCTGACACCCAGTCAGAATGCCTCCTGCAACTGCAGTGCATATATATCCCCAGCCCTGGGAGGCACTGCTGGCTATCTTTTCTTTTTCTGAAGGCTGCCATGAAGGCTGCACTAACTCAATGAAAAGCAAGAACTGAGGTGAACATTAAAATATGTCTCTACAAAACCTCCTTGCCTTGAGAACTGAAAAGGGCCCTAACAGAAAGAATATTGGGGACAGCTAGGATGTGCAGTGATTTTACATTTGCGTTCCTTACCTCTAAAAGTGATAGGGTCAAATGGGTTTGGTGAGCTGTGTTTTGAACAGGCATAAATCTGCATCGATGGATTTCCGAATCTGTTGTTGTCCAGTTATTAGTTCTTGGTCAGGGACAGCCTGGAACTGCAGTAAGGATTTTGCAGCTCAAAGGTAAGGTGTTTTGGCAGACCTGTGTATGCACTTGTAGGCGCTAATCTGCGTAACATTTAGCAATAACACGTGCTTATCACCCATCACTTTTAAGAGCCTTAAAATATTACCTGTTAGAAGAAAACTATGTGCTAATTGCCAGAAAATATGGTATGTAGAAAGGTGTGTTGGGTTGGCTAATTGCCACTAAGTTCACTGGGATTCTATTTGATGGTTAATACAAATAAAACAACTAAACCCTTAACTCTAAGCTTCTGTACCCAAATTCTAAGATTTCCAATTTTGAGTGCCACTAAATGTACAGATTTTACTTGTTTTAAAATGTTTAGGTTATTCAGGCACCATGAAATTGTCATTTTGATGATCAGTTTGCTTTACCCATTACTGCTTGTAGCTATGAAAACAGCAATGAAAACAAATGCTCTTGAAATTCATTTGGTTATACACATCCTCTTAGAGCCTGATCCCAGACTTCTGGTACAATGTCCCCCTCCCCTTCCCCCCCCCCCCCAAACTGCAAACAATCACCAGGCCACACAAGAGCACTTCACTGGTATTTTGTCTTTATAGAGAGGAAATGCTACAGTAAGTTATCTCCTGTGGTATGGCAAATGCAGACCATTTTTTGGAGCTGCGATTCCTGTAAAATGTCAGGACCTACAACTGTGTCTGGAAAAATATTCTGTGTGCTTCAGTAAGCCCCAATTGAACTCCCTGTTTGGCACCTGCAACCAGGTGGCAGTAAAAGAGCTCTGCTGCCAGGGAGAGATGTTCACTCCATAGCAAGTGGTACTAATCACAGGCCATGACTGGGGGAATAGAATGAAAATCAAATCCCAAAAACCTTAATCCCATTGGTCCAAAATCTTGGAATTCTGCAGGGATCAAGCATACCGTCTGCTCACTGCATGAATTGGGTCAAATTAATAGCCTCGGCGGGGTCTCCAGCCATGATTATGCCTCAAGAGATGTCCCTCCCTTGCCGCATAGGTGTTTCGTCAGTGGACCTGAGTCTGGATCTGCAGATCAAGGACCCCCTCAAAATCCCCTTGCATTGTGGGTAAAGGGGGTCCTGGGAGAGCCCAACCTCATGCCAGGCATGCTGTGCAGCCTCCCCGATTCTTCCTAATTTGCCTAAGTAGAACCACTCCAGTTCCACAGCTGTGTGTGTCTGTGACAAAGGGGTCTGATACACCCTATTGACTTCAGTGGGAGGTTTTGCTGGGGTGAGGAGAGTAAAGTTTGGCCTTATTTTTTAAACCTTGAGAATTATTTTAATAACAATTAAACTATTGCACTTTCTATGCCGCTGAGCTACTGTGCTATAAACCTCCTTCCACCCTTTAGCACCATCAATCAGAATATTTCAGCCTTTCTGGTAGTGTGCAGATCCTATCAGCAATGTTCACAAGTTGTTATATCTGGAAGGAATCTATTAACAATACAATAAAATATAATCCTTGCCAATGCTTTTTTGCATCAGCACTCCAAGCCTCCCTCCATAATACTTGAAAGACTGATCACTTTTGTGACAGAATGAAAAGCTCAACTGTTTTGTTTCTGACTATATAGATGTCTTCAGTCGTGATGTGTGCTGGATGTAAAATATTTATTGCACCGACAGGATAGTCCAAAAATACCCAGTTTCGCAGATAATTATGCCAAGGCATCTATTCCTTCTCTGATGATACATACACATGCGGCGCTCTCATTAGGGATAATCAAGCTTATACATTTGCATTAAGAAGAGATGTAGCAAACAAAAGCAAAACAAACGGACAAATCCTTTTGTGGATCAAGCTGTTAAAATATGAATGCGCCTTTTCTGAAATCATAATACTTTCTATAACATATGTGAGAATGCAGAAAGCGGTTTGGAGAGAGATGGAAACCTAGAGGGGCTGGAAGAGAGCCCAAAACGATAAAGAACAATGAGTAGGCTTGCTGGTCTGTTGATCTTGGATTCTCCCCAAGTACCAGATTTCCTGTGAGCTGCTGCTTTTTTTTCCCCCTTGCAAGACAAGGACAAGAGAAAGAGAGCAAGTCAGTGCAGTAATCTGAACAGGAGGATAACTAGAAATACAGAAAAGGAGCAAGGTGTTTACTAGTGCAGGGGATCAGTGCTCAGCTTTGTAAATCCGAGGCAGGCATGGCACCTATTATTGAGCCAATTGTGCAATGTCAGAATTCAGCATACCAGGTGATCTCATTTGCAATGCAGATTGTGCCCAGCTTAGGGGGCACCCTGGTATAATAGAGATAATACAAAGTACTTCCCTTTTATAATGCAGGGCAGGGTTTTTTTTAGTGCTTTTGGGAACTAGCAAGATCTATGAAGTACAGATTTAGGTCTGCCTCAGAGAGCTCTTTGTAGTTCAGGCACAGATAAGTTTTGGAACAAATTTAGAGTTTTAGGATTGGGCTTATTTATCAAGGGCCAAATTTTGCCCTCAGATGTAAATGCTGAGCTCTCACTGAAACCAATGGAAGCCACATGTGCGTATTTCAGCACAGCAGATGACCCCCATTTCTTTCATTTTAAAACGGGGGAGTGCCTCCTGATGTGCAAAGAGTGGCAATGTGGTAGACTGAGCATGAATCTAGAAGCCAGGGACACTTGAATGCCATTCCTGCTGATCACACCAACTCCCTTTCTGGCTTTGAACTGGTTACTTCACTTCTCCCTATCAGTTTCCCTACTCATAAAATTGGGGAAATAATTAATCTAGCTAATGTATTTATTTGTCTAGAGATTTCTATTTCATTATATTACATTCTTCATTATACTATTAATGTCTGCATTATGCTTTGAAGATGTAATTTGCTAAATATTATATCATTACATCTGACATTACATGCTAAAATATTGTCTAACAATTGCTCTTATGTATTATTAATATGAAGCCATTGGTGCTCACTGGCATTGTGCAGGCATGAAAAAACATGGCCCTTGAATTAAACAGTTCATAATCTAGTTACTTTCTCTCTTGTTTGTTGAAGACATAAAATATACATTCAATTTCACTCAGCCTTTTCATGTATTTTCCACGCATCTTGAGTAGGGAATGTGTTTTGTTGGAAATTTATTGTTTTCATCTTTCAAAATACTCTTGTTCCATAGACAGAACAATATGGAAGCAAGAATGATAAAGGGTCTCTAAATACCCATGGATGTTAACAAAAAATTCTGGGGGGAATTTCTGCCTTATATTTAAAAGTTATTGAAATAGACTAAACAGAGGATATTATTGTATTTAATGCACATGCTCCATGTATTTAATGCACATTCTCTTTAAATCCATCCACCCTTTCTGTCAGAAACAAAAAAAAACAGTGAATGGGGCTAAAGGAAGAAAGGTGTTGCAGAGAATTTTATGAGTGAAGCACTTGCCACTTTGCCTGTTGGACTTCATTGCAGAAGTTTCACGCTTATTAGTATTATTTACATGACCACCTCCAAATTTCCAAAGATGGGAATTTAACCAGGAAACGTAATGGTAAACTGCATGGCTAGAACAAATGTATAGTACAATATTTTTGACTTCTCTTAAGTCAAATATCTGAATAAATTGCAAAAGGTAAACTATTCAGCTATGATGCTGCAGGAAGCTTAGAGGGATGAATCAGAGGTTTTTATAGGAATAGCCTTGACTAGGAAAAGGGTCTTCTGTCTGTCTAAGATACTTATATGATCCCCATTGCAATAATATCAGAGCACCTCACAAATAGAAATTAGTCTCATTACATCTCTGTGAGATGGGGATAGGATATTATCCCCATTTTACAGATTGGGGCTGAAGCACATGGAGTAAGTGACTTGCCCAAGCTTACACAGCAAGTCTATGGCAGAGCAGGGATTTGAACTCAGATCTAGTTTTAGGCTACTGCCCTAACATCCTTCCTCTTTAGTGACAGAGGTAGGATACTAGACTCAATGGACCACTGGTGTGCTCCAGTTGGGCACGTTCTATATTCCCTGTGCATGAAAAAATCAGATTTTTTTTATATAAGATTTTATAAAAGCACTAGTGTGGATGTATCCTTAACCTTATTTCTTATTTTAGTCAAAAATATTATTTGTTAATACACGCCTCAAAACACTTAAGAACATCCTGTCATAGAGGCTTACCTTTGCAATAGGATTCCAACAAAACAATTAGCTCCTAATTAATTAATGGAAAACTATCAATGGCTTGTGAAAATTATAACCCGATTTACTGATCTGCAGCGTGCCTAATACATTTATAACTTTCAGCCAGCTCAGCTGGAGGTACTTCATCATGGAAAATGGCAACACTTTATGACTGCACTCAGAAGTATATATTAATACAACATCACTAGGTTTTACAATGCAAATTTGTGTCAGCTCCACACAGTGTGTTCAGTGTAAATTTCCTCAGCTGCATAATGAAGCATGCTCAACAAAAATATGCACAATTTGTTACACAGAGCATGGAAGGAGTGTTTGCTCAGACAGATTCTGAGCACCATCTGGGAGACAAGTGTTTAGTTTTGCAACAGATTGCATAATTTTCATGTAGAATCTGGAGAAAAGCTCTAAATGCTTTAATAGATAGTTGATTTAGCATGCTTTTAATCTTTGTTTTGTGTTGTCTTAAAGGCTATGCATATGTTTTGAATGACGGAAGTAGTCAACTTATTAGAGTGCTCATTCCTTTGCACAATTTGCTTTTCCTTTTCTTGTGTGTGTGTGTGTGTGTGTGTGTGTGTGTGTGTGTGTGTGCGCGCATGCAATATTTCACTATATAGAGTTAGTTTTCACTGCACATGGTAATTAATCTTAGTAAAAACCAAGCATCTAGTGCATATGTATGCCATTTGATTGATTAGATTAGAAATGTAATGTTACACTTCATACATTAGCAATATTTCAACATAACATGTACCAAGGACTCTGCTATCAGTAATAAGAATGCTTCAAGAACAACACAAGTGAGCACCTGAAGCATAAAGAATGACCTTGGTAAGAATGAAAAGCTTTATGCACAAAACACTGCTTATTAATATATTTAATCTGAGCTACCACATTAATGTTCTAAAAAAAGCTGTAGAAAACACTACATTTTAGAGAGAGAATAGGAGGATTTCAGAACAGATTGAATATTTCTCACTCACAAAATGAAAAAAGCAGTACGCTTCAAAAACTCAAAATTGTATTCATTCTAGGGTTTTAGTGGCATGCCACTGAACATATCTGTATCCATCTACATACCAACCAAATGCTAGAACTCTTCCAATAAGCTCCGTGTAGCAGTTAGCAAAAACACGGCAAAGCATAAATCGCAGATTCACACTGTTAGGGCCCTGGGTGAAGAGAAATACATATAATCAAAATGTGACCCTTCATGATACAAAAGAAAAAAGGTACTCTCTATTAAGTGAAATTATCATGAGAAAACATATGATGCTATACCATCCTTCAAGTTTAAAGAACTAGTAAATATCCATGGCTTATTCACCCATTTGCCAGAATATCCATACACTGCTTTGCTCGTGTTTATCCAAGAGCAAAGTGACATCAAAATACTCCTGCACTGATTGACTTATAATGCAATATACTGCAGCATCTTTGAACCTTAAGTAACGATAATGTTTTCAAACCTGCTATAAACTGGGTCAGCCATACAAAGAAATTGTAAAAAATGATGCAGTAATTCAATTTAGCACTGTGTGAAAACTGCACAGTAGTGGATTAAAGGTACTGAAAATGAAGACAAGTGGTTCATTCTTAACCCCTTAAGTCTTTTGCCTTCTGCTGTTTCTGGGACCGTGTCATTTATTTCTAGTGCAGTATCGTAATTTCCAGCAACATGACTACAGTGAATAAAAGCTATTAATGCTAATACTATTGTCTCTCTACACATATGCAATGAGGTTTCTGAAAGGATTAATAATATGTATGGAATAAACCAGGGTTCATTATTAATACACACTACGTTTGATCTACAGTGCTGTAGATGTAACAAAAAAAACAGGTTAGGAAAAGCACAATACAGCCATATGAAAGATGTGATGCAAGTAAAAAGAAAAGAATGACAATAGCTATTTAAATGGTCAAATAACATGAGACATAATTGGTAGTAAAGATACATGAGCTCTCTGACTGGTATTTGTACGTGGTGGGGTAGGGCAGGGGGAAGACCTCTCTATTTGTGCCTTGTACAACATGACCATTTAAAAAGCTGGTCTCTTTTGTAACGTGGCAATTTTATAGACATCCCAGCTTTATGTGTCTGAAGAGTTCTTTCTCTCTCTTGACTTTCGTGTGTTGTGTGCTGATTGTATGTGTGACAGTGTTTTGGATCAGCATGTATCATCTGTCCTGCCCCACATCACAATGGCACTCCATGCCAACGCTTACCTGATCCCAAATCTACTTTCAGAGGCAAAGTCAAAATGAGTAACAATCAAGAGAAACCAATCTAGAAAAATTTAAAGAATTAGATAGGACTGGAGGAAAAAGAAAACGTGTTCCTGGTAAGCAATTGTGCTTTTGTGTGTGTGTCTAAAAATAGTCTCTGAATTCTTTAAGTTGAGAGTCTAGGTACGTTCAATTACATTCAGTGAGGACATCTAAAACTAATAGCAATGGTAATAGATTGAAGTGTAGTTTTACTCCTGCTACAGACCTGGAAACCAGTCTTTTTTCTTACCCAGACCTACTTTAGTTTCTTAAAAAATATTTTCTCTCATTAATAATAGGACAATACACAACTTTATTTTGTATACAACAGCACCTTCCACAACTAGGCCACAAGGTGCTTAGATCTAATGAAAACCAAAATGAAATACTGACATAGGAGATGAATCAGTATTGACAAGGTAAAAAAAGGAAAATATTTGTCCATGATCAAATACTGAATTGATTAATAACCCAGGAGGCCTTACGACTAGATATATTGGGCCGGTTGTGACTGTCCCTCATGAGGATATGCAAAAGAGTATGGTTAGGAATGTAGTGAAGCATCTCTTTCCCCTTTCCTGTCCCATGGCCAGGCCAGTGACAATGACAATGCCTGCTCTCAGGGATGCACAGGGGCTACTCACTTTTAATCTGTCCCCCTACCCCCCACACCTCAAAGTGGGCAAGGAGCAGCTAAGAAGAGGAGGCAGGCCATGATTTCTTGCATCTTTCCATGTCATCCTTTGGTGCAGGCCCAGTGCTCCAGCGGGAGTGGCCTGCCTATGCTAAAGGCTGTGAGGTCACCCAGTACAATATAAAGCTCAGGGTGACTCACAGTTCACTGAGGCATAATCATAATGACCCAGATAGGGTGATAAGGCTCTTCACTGCACCTGATGCAGTGCTACTCTTCGGGCAAACACGCTAACCTCTTGTAGTAAACAAGGTAGATCTTTATCAGAGAGATAGCTGTGTTAGTCTGTATCCACAAAAACAATGAGGAGTCCAGTGCATCTGAAGAAGTGGGTTTTTTACCCATGAAAGCTTATGCCCAAATAAATCTGTTAGTCTTTAAGGTGCCACTGGACTCCTTGTTGTTAATGTAGATCTTTGATGACTTGTCTATAAACACTTCAGAAATGTTAATCTTTGGGGTAGATGCTAATTCCATGTTCATGATAAAAATAGATTGACTTTCTTTTATATCTTCAGATTGTGTTTCACACACATAGGCCAATCTACAAGAAGAGAAGGTTGGACAGTCTATTCAAAGAGACCCCAATCAATATGCACAAACAGGTCAATGGGTAGAAAATATTTAAAGTTACAGAGGGTGCTGAAGTATTTGCAATAGTTTAGACAACAAAGAAAAAGTGGGTATATCACCTTATTAGGGTGAAGATTAGTATTACTACTTAACACCCTACCATCTGTCTAAAACAGAAACTAAGAGAGGAGAAGAAAAAGAGGCAGAAAGACAGAGACTTAAAGAAGTGATAGGGGATTATGAAGCAGAGAAAGCAGGACTGGATTCAAGATCAGACCCTGCCCAGGCTCCTGTGGCAGGAGCAAACATCAAATGAGGCCTGTTCTCGGAAAAATGAACAGTAACATGATGGTACAGATGCTTTTATAGTGTAGTGATGACTTGCAGCGTCTCCTAAGTCTTATAGAGCAGGTCTAAGATGCATCTCTCCATGAAGCTAAAATTTCCCATTATTATGGCAGATGCTAAAGCTAATTTCTGCACTAGAATCATAGAATATCAGGGTTGGAAGGGACCTCAAGAGGTAATCTAGTCCAACCCCCTGCTCAAAGCAGGACTAATTCCCAACTAAATCATCCCAGCCAGGGCTTTGTCAAGCCGGGCCTTAAAAACCTCCAAGGAAGGAGACTCACCACCTCCCTAGGTAACGCATTCCAGTGCTTCACCACCCTCCTAGTGAAATAGTATTTCCTAATATCCAACCTGGATCTCCCCCACTGCAACTTGAGACCATTGCTCCTTGTTCTGTCATCTGCCACCACTGAGAAGAGCCGAGCTCCATCCTCATTTTTGTTGCCCTCCGCTGGACTCTTTCCAATTTTTCCACATCCTTCTTGTAGTGTGGGGCCCAAAACTG